TTAAAGTCCAAAGGTACTTTGATAAAGCACTAGGCCCTACCCGGTCTCAGTTAGTTAGGATAAACATTGGCTACACAGGGGGGATGCCTCTACTTTCTAGGTTAGGAGGCTCAATTACCTCTCTCCTGGTCAGAACTATGCATAGTCATGACTTCTCCAGGGTGGGAGCCTTGTCCTAAGACCTCTATACCCCCAAAAAATGCACCAGTACCTCAAAGAAACAAGTCTATCCTGAACCTCTCTAGAGATAGATAGTCTCAGATATGTCTCACAAGCCAACAGATCTGAGGGTGGTAAATGACATGGTTCTCTCTTCTGGAGCTCTAGGTAAGTGACAATTGAGTGAGAAGCTCAGGACTCACATTCTAAAATCAAAAATGACAATATTCTACTAAGCAATTGGCACTGGGTTCCACTCTGCTGGTTGCCTGGTTTGAGCACATAGAAAAAATGTTAAATTTATGAAAAAGCATATTTTGTTATCTATAGTCTTTATTGGCATCTGTCCTCTCACCTGAACACATAAAACATAACAAAATTTCAAATTTCAAAACTAGGAATACTTGCTGGAAGCATAGACAGTGAGAGGGAACTCATCCTTAGAAGAGACAAAAAATAAGCAATTTGTCAATTTAGTCTTTCATGTCAAAAAAGCTAGCTGGATTCAAACCCTGATTTTGTAGCAGTATATTGCCAATGTAATCGTGTTGTCTGGACTATTTATCAGTATTGAAGGTCACCCTAAATAAACCTGTGGCATAGTATGGAATGCTGTGTGGTCTTAGTGTGAAGGGACAAAATCCAGATCAGAAAGTTATTGGGCCTGTAGATGAACACGTTGGGCAGGAGGCTGCTTTGGTGCCTGGTAAGGTTTGATAGCGAGTTCATATCCCAGACACTAGTGGAGAGAGCTTCCTGTGTGGCATAACAGGAAGAAGTGAACTTAGATTAGTTTTTAAAATTCACGGTTCACAGTGAAGGTAATCAGGAAAGAATTCCTGAGAGCCCTCCACCCAGAAGATTAAATGTAATGGTTTGAATAGGGTTCCACTACAGTCTGGCAATATTAAATTAGTGGACTAGCATGGAAGATGAAATAACATGTGCTGCTGGAAAAAATTTTCAGACAGGCAGCAGTGGTGCGCGCCTTTAATCTCAGCACTTGGGAGGCAGAGGCAGGAGGATCTCTGTGAGTTCGAGGCCAGTCTGGTCTACAGAGAGAGATCCAGGACAGGCACCAAAACTATACAGAGAAACCCTGTCTCAGAAAAAAAAAGGAAAAAATTTTCAAACATGAGTCCTGACCAATAAATTCATTATGGAGATTATGCATAGATACACTGGTCCATGCACATACTCACATACACACAGGCACACAGAAAGCTGAACATAGATAATCACTGACTTTTCTATAGCTGAAAACAAAATATGTAAATGATATCAAGAATGCTTTGTGTGGCCCAAAAAGATTTGGTGCAAGAAATAAACTTTTAAAATACATACAAAACAAATACCAGGGCTGGGAAGTATTCTGCAATGTTTCAGTTCATCATTCAGTGACTGAAGGAACCTTTTTACAATATTCTGATCAAATCCTCCCTTTTGAGTGAGCAGGCACCTTTTCAGGTTACAGGTTTCACAATGGTGTATTTTTAGATCACTTTGCTCTTTCTTCAGTTCAGCTCGTATTAAGCCACAATCTGCCTTCTTGGAAATGTCACCAGCTGGTCTAAGCTTGGACCTTTTAAGAACAAAGAGGGGGGTTGGGGATTTAGCTCAGTGGTAGAGCGCTTGCCTAGCAAGCGCAAAGCCCTGGGTTCGGTCCTCAGCTCTGAAAAAAAAAAAAAAAAAAAAAAAAAAAGAACAAAGAGGATTGGGTGCTTTTTCTGTGTGGCAGGTTTCAAACAATGTACACTTGTTTTCCAATCTAAAAACTCTATTTAGATCACTGCTCCTCATCTAGGATGTTTACATGCCTTGTCAATCTTATTATTCTTTGATCTGCGATCAGAGTTTTAAAGCAACCTACCACCAGGACTTAATACTCCCTATTCTATCTGACTGCCAGGAACCATATTTTTATTTCAGGATGAAGTTTTTTGTGGATGGGTGGGATGGAGATGCAAGCCATCATGAAATAGTCATATGTCCAATAAACATAATTTTCTTCTTTGCTGAAATACAATATTTGGGCAATATGAAATGAAACGGAAATTTTAAGATGTCACTTTGACTGGAGCTTACATGGTACTATTTTCTTTTATTGAGCCATGGGGATTAGAACGGCAGACTCGTTCTCCCAGAGAAGCGACTCACAAGCAGGCATGAGTCTTTGTGTGGCAGATGAAATTCAATACAGTGGGGGCAGAGATGGAAGAAACTTTAACTTACAATCGATGTATTGACTCTCATTGTGTACTAGATTCCAGTTACAAAGATCAGATTCCAAGGAAGTAGGGCTACCTCTGCACCTTACTGTCCACACAAGCCTATACAATGTCAGTTTATTTCTACAGACCTGTTCAAAACTGGAACAAGTCTGAGCCCGCAGGCTCAGGGGTATATTAAGCATTCTCATGCATCTGTCATTACTCTAGGTACCAAAATTTTAAGTCTGAATAAGGTCAACTTCCTAATCTGATTTTGTCAGGGAGACCATAAAACCTTACATTTTTTCATAATTAGATTCATAGGAAAGTGGAAGATACAATCCAGAAAATAGTCAACAAAGAAATAGTTGAGTCAAAGAAAGAAATCCCCGTGAAGACAGAAATGGGAAACGAGCCATGGAAAGCGTAGCAGAGCAATATACTGTGGATGAGGAAGTTAGCCCGGGGCTTCACTCAGCAAGCTTTGATTTGAAAATCTGCATATCAATAAGAAATTACTTTTGGATTTACTCCAAAACTATTAAGGTTCTGTACCACCATTTTTATTGAATCTTAGCTTGCATTTGTTAAAATCTATCAGTCAAGTGAACAATATTTCCTCACTCTGAGTCTTTGGCCATGTATTCCTTGGTCACTTTCTAGTTCCTACTTTTAAAATAAATTATTGTCAAATCAGTTCTGTACATGTCCAGCAGAGGTTCTGAAGCTCAGTTCAATGCTGCCTGTTCAGTATTGTTTTGCAGACTGTGGCAGGCACTTAATATCATCTAGCTCTTGATTACATTGTGTTAAAATCTTTGGGGATTGGGATTTCAGGAATTTTCATAAAATAATTCTTTTGATATTTTGCTGAACTGTAGGTATGTTAAGAATGTCTACATGATAGTATGAATATGATTGAGATTAAAATGTATAGTATGAGTGGCTAGCATCTAGCATATCACTAAATGAGAATAGGACAGTGTTGATTCATTATTATTGCACAGAAAATAAATATATCTGAGATATTTGGGTGTATCATACACAGTACCAGGGTGTGAAACACACTCCTTAATTCACCCAAAAATGTTGATTAAGAGACTTTCATCGCTCCAATACTGCACTGTGAGATGAGGGTACAATGCTGAATAAATTCAACAGATCCAGTTGGATGGTCTTGAAAGAATATTTGCAGGACACACCAGTGTTAAAAGTATATATGACACATCCTTCATAATTTAAGAATGCATCAGAGCACTTAATCTCCATCAAAAAACGATCTTACATGTGCTGATTTAAAAAACATATATATTAACACTTGGTCATTATAATTTATATTTTCTCCATCTTTTCCAAAAGGGCACAAGTGTGATACTCAAATGCATTTCTTGTAGCATTGATCCATCTTGGTGCCGTTAGTGACCTTCTAATACAGATTTAATGAGAGGGCAATATATGAAGTTGGCATCATTTCTCATATTAAGCAGAGGTGAAACTTCTGTTAATCACTGATTTCTTTCTTTGTGATAAACTTTTTCATATACCTTTCATATTTTTACCACAAGAAATATTAACCTTTAAACACAAGCAATTTTATGCATATTCTACTGCCACAATTCATTAAGGTGTGTTCATGGTTAATTCTTAGGTTTCCTGAAGGAATATTTCATGAGACTTGAAGAACAAATCAAGTGTTTCACACAAAATAAGGTATTTAACATCTTCTACATGCCCTGGATGAAAGTAACAGTAATTTAGCACTGTCAATATTAGTAATGTTAACATGCTTAAGGGAAGACATGTCTTTTTAAACTCTGTATTGTCTGGCACCCAGGAATTCTGAGCTTTTGAGGAACAAAGAGACGTGACAGATTATCATCGAATACATTAGACTCTAGAGAATATTGACGCAAAGAACTTTGGGTTTGAGAGATGAGAACAGCTCCTCTTGGGAAGTCCAAAAATGGTTTGATAAGTTGATTGAAAAGTTACCGTACATCCCAAGCACAATGATTCATGAAGAGAAACAAATTTGTTATAAATAATTTCCCCCTAAAAGGATGGAACACCACTCTTCTTAATCTTTTCCATCAGATGGCAGTGGTATGAGCGAGGCCTCCCACGTTGGCACACTGACCATTTACACTGAGCAGAAAGTCACAGATGTTCAAGAGGGACAAACATGTGACCTCAGCCTGGTTAGACCTGAGTCTTAACAGGCAGAAACTGTGCCTCATAGACTATGGAGAACAAAAGAGAAGACTGTAGAATACTACATACACTTCTGCAGTACTTTCTTCATTTATTTTGCTTGACTTTAGAAGTTCTTGGAATCAAAACCAAACCCTTTACCACCTAGATGAACACCAGTCCTGCGTTCGACTTTTCAAATGCAGTTTCCACATTAGTGAAAATGGATACAAATGTCAGTTCTATTAAGGAGGCAGGGTGTCAGCTCTCCTTTCAGAAAAGGAAGTATCAGATTCAAGGATTGAAAAACTTGGCTAAAATTCTGGAATACACAAGCGACAGGACTAAGTAAGGTCCAAACAAATGTGCTATCATCCCAATCCACTTATCTCTGTACTAATGAGAGAAAGATTATTTGGCAGATGGAACTGAGCAAATAAGTGGAAATCAAAGTGCCTGGTTTAGGAAAACTAAGGGAATACTGGGAATGTTGTTTAGATTAGCATCCTTCATAGTGGACATTAAATTGTCCCCTGCTGTTTGTGTGCATAAAAGGCTATGGACAGCTTCAATGACAGTTTAGGAGGGAGTTTCATTTTGGTGGGCTTCTCAGATTGGCCTCAGCTGGAACTCTTTCTTTTTGTCTTTATTTCAATTTTCTACTCTCTAACTCTGTTTGGCAACACCACCATCATTGCTCTCTCCCAAATGGACCTTCGATTACACACTCCCATGTACTTCTTCCTCTCACACCTCTCCTTCCTGGACCTCTGCTACACCACCAGCACTGTGCCCCAACTCCTCATCAACCTTCATGGACTTGACAGGACCATCAGCTATGGAGGATGTGTGGCCCAGTTGCTCATATCTCTTGCTCTGGGCTCCACTGAGTGTGTGCTCCTGGTGGTGATGGCCTTTGACCGCTATGCTGCTGTGTGTCGTCCCCTGCACTACATGACCATCATGCACCCCCTTCTCTGCCAGGCATTGGCGATTGCCTCATGGGTAGGAGGCTTCTTGAACTCTCTGATTCAGACAGGGCTCATGATGGCCATGCCCCTCTGTGGACACCAACTGAATCACTTCTTCTGTGAGATGCCTGTTCTCCTGAAGTTGGCCTGTGAAGACACGGGAGGAACCGAGGTCAAGATGTTTGTGGCCAGAGCCATAATCTTGGTTTTCCCTGCAGCACTCATTCTTGGCTCCTATGCACAGATTGCCAGGGCAGTGCTAAAGATCAAATCAATGGCTGGACGAAGAAAAGCTTTTGGGACCTGTGGGTCCCACCTCCTGGTGGTTTCTCTGTTTTATGGCTCAGCCATCTACACATACTTACAGCCCAAGGGCAGCTATTCTGAGAGTAACGGAAAGTTCGTTGCCCTTTTTTATACTATCATCACCCCCATGCTCAACCCTCTGATTTATACCCTGAGGAACAAGGATGTGAAGGGGGCTCTGTGGAGGGTGCTAGGGAGAGGCACAGACTCATGGTAGGGGAAGAAAATAGGGTCACTACAACTTTCTTTGATAGCTCTCATATCATTAAGTTGATCCTGTTCTGCTGACTAAGAAATATCCTTCAGCAAGTCTCAGAATTTTGTTCCTTGGGAGGTGAAAGTCAAGATCCCTTTAGCTTCTTTCTCTGTTAGTGTGTACAGTCCTTGGAAGAAGGGGGTCAAAGCTGATTTAGCTTAAACATTGCACAGGAATGTTTGAGAAGATGGTTTCTTCTCACCACATGGGAGACTAGCACAGGTGTTTGGGAATTTCTGAGTATGAGGGAAGACTTAATTGAATGAGACACCCCTTTTCCAAAGCTGGTGATTCCCATCATATGTTGTGTAGATGGTACTTTGCCCAAAGGTATAGAACACTGTTCACCACTGGTTTTCTAACTAGTTGGCTGCATCCTTCCATACATTCAGGGCTTAGATCACCTCTGCCTTTTTAGTTTTTTAGTGCCCACTATTACCAGAGGGAGAAAAAGGAGACTATGGCCAGATAGACATCATCAGAAGAAAGTTTCATACATGATGTCATTTCACTAATACTTAAAGAAAATAACAAAATCTGTGAAATAGCACCAAATAAGAAGAGCATTGAAGCCTTCTCAGATGGGCCCAACAGGTTTGTTTGTTGCCATGGTGAAGATATTTTTCATTGACGGGAGAAGAGAAGATAAATGATTATAAAAACAATAAGCATGAAGAAAGCGGGATAACAAAGAGAAAGAATGAAAGTAACACTAGTGAACGCAGAGAGGAGTTGGCATAGGCAGGAGGGACGCAGCCTTCAGATCCTACCACAGCTGTTTCTTTTCAGGTACTTAAACGATGGTTTCAGATCAAACAATAGCTATCCTTGTAAATAAGCTTTAAAGTTTTACTCACTTTTCTGGTTGGATTAAAAAAGTCTTAATTCCAACAGCAATCGTTACTTAGTCTTTGAAATATTTTTATACAAATAACTGTGAGAGCTTCATATAATCACCAGCGATTCATGATTAACCAAGCTTCAGCGTTTTTAAGTAGCTTACCCACGTTCACGTGACGTGAGCCTGGGACACTTTTGTAACCCCAAGCCAACCCATACCATTGCCCCTATGGTTCTCTTTTTCTGAGAAAGGATTCCCCTCCCCATTACACTTTTTTTCCAAGGTCCTGGGTATCCAAGCTTGCAAATCACCACACTAGAAAATGTGTCTCTGTGTCACTGAGATGCCCAGCCAGTCTCAAGAGTGAAAGCTTAATAGTAGAGGAGTGAGCTTGGAAAGCTGGAAAGGAAACTAAATGGGAGCAGAATGTGCATCACCGATTCTCCCTGCTCTGTTCTGACCTGGCCTCTGCATTCTTCCGAATTAGGAACATTCTGCCATCAGTTGCATGCTTTTGCTCTTTGTATAAGGTGAATGTATAAAGCAATGTGATCATTGCTTCCATTTCTTGAACCTTTTGTGTCAAAAATCCATGCTGAAGAGTGTACATTGTCACACTTAGTACCTCAACATTTAAATAGCTATAGTCCCTCTCCCCATCATTGCATTAGTTTTACTGATTAAGGCACTAAAGTTCAAGTAATTTTTGTATAACTTGCTTCAGGTTACCTAAGCATTAAATTAAGGGTCTGTATTTGGACTTGGCCTATTACATTTCCGATCCTACTTCCTTAGGATCTACTACTCAGCCATCCACACCTTTACACCTCTTTAACTCAGGATAATCACTAACCATATACCTGAAACACATGCTTTCTTTTGCATCCTTTCATACTGTTGAAACAATTATGGCATATATACATACTTAATAGAGAAAGGAGGACTAAATAAAGTTTTGTGACTAGTGCATTACTCTTTTATTTGACAGTCAGTAAAGAGAGATGATCATTAAAGATAGCATTACTCCAGTGAAGCAATTGGTACAGCTGGGCACCACACGGCCATTGCTTTTGCAATTTATGTCTTGTGGGATGCAGATGCCATCTCCATGGAAACCTCTAACCCCTGGGCAGCCATAGACCTTCTTATTCAAAATAGTGGCTAAATGATTTTTGCCACCAAGAGCAAAGCCATGTCATTTGCATAAAAAAGAATGCAATCTGAGATAATTATATTAAGAAAATTAAGCCAATCTTAGACAAATGTATGTATACATATATATGTTTGTTCTATATATGATCATGCATATATATAGGAGTGATAAACAAAATGAAAAGCTGGCTATTAAAAATAACAAAATGACAAACTCTTGTGTGATAGTTTGAATTTAATTGGCCCCCATAAGCTCATAGGGAGTGACACTATTAGGAGGTGTGGGCTTGTTAAAATAGGTGTGGCCCTATTGAAGGAAATATAGCTTTGTGGAGGCGGGCTTTGAGGCCTCTTTTTCTTAAGCTTCTCTCTGTCACAGACCACTTTCTGTTGCCTTCTGATCAAGATGTAGCCAGCAAATGTCTGCCTGCATGCTGATATGCTCTACACCATGATGATAATGGACTGTAAGCCCTTCTGGACTGTATGCCCCCACAATTAAATGGTTTCCTTTATAAGAGTGGTCATGGTCATGGTGTCTCATCACAGCAATAGAAACCCTAACTAAGACACCTTGGCTAGAAAAAAAAAGAAAGAGAAGACTGAACAATTAATACCATTGCAGCAGACACCGTGGAAATGCAAAGACCACTGGAGATCTCTCTGAGAAATAGTAAACCAATGAGTTCGATGACACAGACAAAATGGACAAGTTCTTGGATACATTCAGCTTAGCAAGACTGAACCATAAAGAAATGTAAAGCTTCAATAGAACCATCACAATCATTGAGATTAAATAAGTGACTTAAAAAGCATCTCACCAAAGAAATACCCAGTACCAGATGACTTCATTGTTGAATTCTACCAAGCTTATAACAAACCACTATCGAAACTTTCTTGATCATTATCAGGGGAAAATAAATCAATAAGTAAATCTTTTCAAAAAGAATATGAAATCAGGGGCTGGAAAGATGGCTCAACAGTTGAGAGCACTGGCTGCTCTTCTAGTTAACCTGAGTTTGATTGCCAGCGCCTACATGGCAGCTCCCAGCCATCTGTAACTCTAACTCTAGGGAATTCAGTGCCCTCTGCTGGCCTCTGCTGACACTTTACACACATGACGCACCAGCAGACAGGCAGGCGAAACACCTATACACACCGAATAAAATTAAATAAATTAAGTCTTTTTAAAAGACTACTAAGTCACTTTATTCTCAATTATATACTTCACGTGTATGTAATTGTTTGATAGACGAATGATTCTGTGTGCATGGTGTACAATAAAGGAACCGGTGAAATCATGTTCAACTCAGGATTGAGTTTTACATGAGTATAGTTCCCGTAATTTCAAGGAAAAGCAAATGAAATACTTCAGTATATGGTGTATATAGTGTATATGTGCATGTACACATGTTTCTAAATGTGTGGGTACACATGTGTGTACGCAGGTACTCATGCATGTGTGTGTGTGTGTGTGTGTGTGTGTGTGTGTGTGTGCGCGCGCGCAGAGGCTCGAAGATGGCATTGGGTATATTCTTCAATTGCTCTCTACTTTGTTTGTTTGTTTTTAAAGATTTGTTTTATTTTCATTTATGTACCTTTGTATGTATCTATTATGTATGTGCATGTTATGTGCAGGGACCTGAGGCCAGAAGATGAGTTTGGATCTCCTGGAGATGGAGTTATAGGTGGGATTGAACCACCCAATGTGGGTGCTGGGGACTGAACTTAGATTCTCTGTGTAACAGGCCCCAGACCTTAGCACAACTCACTCAGTGACAGAAGCACAAGCTCAGCATGTAGACACCCCCAGCAGCCAAAATGAAAACAAAGACCTGATCCATCAGAGTCCATATAATTCTGGGGAAGTCTCTAAGTGTAGTAACCTTGCTTTTTGGCTTCTGCAGTTCCACTTCTGTTTAACTGTTCTTGTTAACTGAAGAATGCCAACCCAGAACATGGCCTTTGTGCTTAAAAGCTCACTCTGAGAAATACCCAGTATCGTCCCTGATTGGCTAATAAAGACTTTCTATTGTCTTAAATCCATGTGTCTTAGCTGTGAAAAGACACCATGACCATGGCAACTTTTATAAAGTAAACCATTTAATTGGAGTGGCTTGCTTACAGTTTCAGAGATTCAGTCCATTATCATCATGGCGGGGAGCCTAGTGGCATGCAAGCAGACGTGGTGCTGTAGCCGAGAGTGCTACATCTTGCAGGCAACAGGAATTTGACTGACAGTCACACTGAGGAAAGCTTGAGCAAAAGAGATCTCAAAGCCCACCCCCACAGTGACACACTTCTTCCAACAAGGCCACTCTTCCTAATAGTACCACTCTCTTTGGGGGCCATTTCCTTTCAAACCACCACATCATATCCAAGCAGTCTTCTCTGGTGAATATCCCACAATACTCTGCAAAAGCGGCAAGCACGCTTAACAGTTGGGCTGTCTCTGAAGCCCCTTAACCATACATATTGAGTCTCTCAATCAAACTCAAAACCCACAGATTGAGTTAAGATATTCAATTTGTTCCATAGCCCATCTCTGTCTCCTGAGTACTGGGGTTATAGTTAGTCACCATCCCTGTCCAGCTTCTACACAGGTTTGGGGTATCCAAACTCAGTACCCCACACTTGCACAGCAACAGTGCTATCCACTGAACCACACACCCCAATGTGGTTAATTACATCTTAACAAAACTATTAAAATCAGTACTTGCTAATTGTGTTGTAAACAAAACTTTGATATATAAAAAAAAAAATCTATCCATCTCTCCAAAACCTCCCATTACGCACAACTAATAAAAAACATAATCATATTCTACCCGGGGAAATTTTTCTACATCATTTTTAAAGCTTGTTTGGTAGTTGTTAATCTTGATTGTCACCATGATTGGATTGAGACACACTTAGGAGATTTGTAAAGCTCTGGCTGTGTCTATTAAGACCAGTCCTGAATGTGGGCAGCACCAACTGCAGTCTGATAGCCCAGATACAATAAAAGGAGTCATAAAGAAAGCCTTATACAGGAGTAAACAACTGCTGAGAACTCTGAC